CTATAAAATATTTCTTTTTATACTGACACCTCCTGTTCTCTTGACCTTCCTTAACCCTTAGGAAATCATGGAAAATTTAAGAATACGGTGCAAGGCCTGCGGATTGAAGCAAAACTAAATTAGATCAAATGCAGCTTGAGAAACGCTCGTGCTCTTTTTGCATTTATCTCTTTCAACTTTAACACCCACAATTTATTAAGTGAGACTGTGTATTGCAGCAGAAGCTTCGAATCCTGTTTGGACAGCGTTGAGGAAGGAAGCCAGGTCTTGATGGGGCACCCCCTTCCTCTTAGCCAGTGGCCAGGAAAGCCATCATATTGCATAAAAGCTATTCAATCTGCGAGAGGTGGGGTGGTTTTGGGAAGGAAGGTGACCTCTCCCTTGTAGCAGGGAATTGCTGTGCTCCCTTGTGACTTGGTCAGCTCATTTCCCCCGCTGTTTATAAGAACTTGTGTGAATGCTCGCGGTGACAGCAATCATCATTTAAAATACGGCTCCTTTTCCATGTGGTGGAATCTCCTAAATGGGGTAAACTGTGGATCGTGGCAATTCCAAAGTAGAATGTTAGACAATCTTCCGTTTTGCTGAGGCCCTGCTAATATTAATGTGTACGTTCTTAAAAGCCAGAAGTGCAGTCAGTACATATATACCACTGCCGTGTGTCGTGAAAGCGCGTCTTCTGTCTAATCTGAAAAGTGTGATGAAATCCAGTGAATTAAGCATGTTTTTGTCTGGCAGTCTTCATGCCTTTCTAGTTTCTAAAATGAAACAGGATCTGTCTCATATGCTGGGGTCTGCAGGTAGCTTAAGGTTTGGCACTGCAAACCTGTTCACTTTGAACATTTACTGATACCTTGACTAGTTGGAATGACTTTGAATTTTGACCTGAATTTTAGCATGATTTTATTTGTTTATTTTACATTGTTTTCTGGTTAGTATCCTACAGATTACTGTATACAAAGCAGCCTCTGTATTAATTTCTTTAACATACTTAATAGAATATCTTTATATTCTGTAATTGATTTTAGATCAATAGTTTTAGACTACTGCTTTCATGTCTGCCTTTCACACAGTTTTTTCTAATGTCAGCACCTTAACTTCCAATGATATGTTTGTCAAAATGTAAAACAAATAGCACTGGTGTGTTTTTAGTAGTTAAACTCTGATTTTATTTGGATTTCACCAGATTGAGGGCTGATATCCCTTTTCTGTTCTAGGGTACAATTAACTGTATTTAGTCATCTTATCTTTTTAATCTCTTCTGATTTATGATGAACTTAGTCTTTATTCTTTCCCATGACCTTGACATTCATGAGGAATATTGCCCCAAGGCTTTGTAGAATATTTGTTATTTTTGAAGATATGAAAACATCTAACTGCTGTGTTTTATAAAAGGGAAGTGTAGTTCAGTCATGATTTGTACCAATAATTTTCTATTACTATACTGGTTTTGACCTGATGAATATTACTTTCTCTTCTTATCAATTACAGTAGCACTCTATAATTAAAAATTGATTTGTGAAGGGTTTAGTACGTGTTTAATATTTGTTTTTTTCTGTTCATCATTCTACATTCTCAACTTTGCCGAAGTTAGTTGTGCTTATTCCATTTAAACCACAAACAAAATTTCCAGCAATGAATGTCTCATCTCTTATTTTAACAGATTAGAGATGGAGAGCCAAATTGTTATGTGTTGAAGAACAAAGATTTAGAACAAGCCTTTAAGGGAGTTATTTACTTAGAAATGGATCTCATATATAATCCGGTAAGTCTCCTTTGACCAAACCTCCCAGCTTTGGTGTACTTAAAATAAAAGGCCTTCATAGTTAAAGAAATATACACTATTTCAGAAAGTTTACCACTAGAGAAAACAGCAAACACTTTATAAATTTAACTGTAAAACCTGTCCTGAGCATCCCCACTTGCAAGTTGTATTAACCTTACTGTGCCAGCTAAAGTGAATATATTTAGTTAACAATAAACCCAAATGTCAATAAAAAATAAAAATACAGGGGAAAATAGGTTTCATATAACATTAACACACAGAAATTTATATAAACCTATATGTATTCATATATAATTTATGATATATATTCAAATAATTCTCTGTAAATTTTATGTCCTAAAAGTGGTACAGGAGATATGTATATCTGAGTGTGACATAACATATAATATATTTACTAATAATATCTGTACTATAAAATCTGGCCTATATATATATATGTATATCACATTTTTACTTTTATATATAATAAATTTTATACCTATGTATTTGCTCATTTTCAGTAGTATTAGAAATATGAGCACAGTGTTTAGAATAAGAGTATGTTTCTTTTATTTTCTTCCTTTTTCTCCTTTTCCTTTCAAGGAAATCATATGTTCAGGTTACAAATTATATGTCCCCTTGTCTCCTGATACCTTGAGTATAGATTATACTGACAGATTATTTTTAATCTCAGGTAAAATGTGGGCTTAAGGGGACAGAAGGTTGATCTTTAAATTGAAAGTATTCCAGTTAATTTTATTCTTTCCTTCTTCTGGTGGTTTATACAAGTCACCAAGTCACAGTGAGCCTCAGTTTATTTTCTGTAGAATGGGACTACTATGGCTCATTGGCTTTTAGCTCATTGAAAGAAAACGAGATTCTCTGTGGAAGTATTGGTTTCCACCCACATACTGAAAGCTACTCTTCACATCAGGTATCACTGATAAAATCCTAGTTTAAGAATACACTAGAAAGAGGCTTTCGCTTTTGGAGACACTGGTTTAAGAGTTGTGCCCTTCGTTTTCTGGAGTGGTTCAAAATACACCCATGAGGAGTTAGCCAAATAGTGATGACATTCTCACAGCTGAGTCTGACACCCAGGGTCTCCCATAGATGAGATTCCCCAAGCACTACAGGACCGAGGACACTGTGGCATTGCCTCTCCTTTGTGCCTGGACCTGAGGGTCAGAGGTATCCATGTCTCCACTTTTCCCAGTTACTAAGAAGCAAAATGAAGTCCATACAAATGCTGCCCCTTTAAACAGTGCTATCTTTCTAGGTCAAGGCCAGTATTAGGACCTTTGCTCCCAGAGAAAAGCGCTTTATTGAAGATAACCGCAAGCTGTCCAAAAAGGTAGGTTCATACAGTACCGGAAGTGGCGCATGACTACACTGAGTCATAGAACTACACCCAGAAACAAGGATGTCTTGATCAGGACTTGTGTGTTTGTCTCCTCTTTTCCTCTCCTTTCAGATCCAGTTGTCTCCCCTTATTTCCCCAAACAAGTACTTCAGGATGAAAACCTATAGCCTATGTCGGGGATGGAGCAGAAAGTGCCCACCCTCCAGCTTCCTCAGAGATCATTCCCTAATTATTCCTGCCACGAAGCATCCGTGGCCTCCTGAATTTGCTTCTTCACACCCCTGTCCATCTCTGGGTTTAAAATGTCCAGAAGGTGCTCTGCCTGTGGAGTGGATCAGGCATTCAACCAGTGCATGTTTGGAGAATTTTTGTCCCCTCACCATATTTGTGCTGTCCAAGCATGGGGTGTGTTAGCATTTTATCTCCTATTGACTTAAGTATCTCTTTCTCTGCTCATTGCCCTAAACTTTTCTTGCATCAGTGCAAGTCTATGTGAAGAAAAAGGGACTCGTCAGGGAAGTTTCACCATCACCACCACCACCACCATCATCATCATCATCATCATCATCATCATCATCATCATTATCATCATCATCATCATTGTTTTATGACCCTTTTGTGGTTGTTGTCCAGAGGTTCTCCCTGTCCTCTTTAGGCACAGCTCAGAATTTTAGTCCATACCCATTGTCCTTCAGAGTGCAGCAAAGAACAAAGTGTCCCCCTTCAGGCATTTATTACTTCCCCCACTTCCTGTGAGTAGACAGCTGTGGATGACACAAAGCAGTTAAATATAAAGGCACCTTATCACCCTTCTGTTTCCCATGAACTTCTGGGCATACTTGGAAAAGGCCTCCAGAGTCTTCTAAAAGGAAGCATCTGTATGGGCTTTTCTCTTTTTTTTCTCCACTACCCCTATCATTGAAGCATTGAGTGTAATATTTATTTTGTGTAATATGAGAAAATGTCTCATTATTGCTGCTTTATGCTCTAGCTACTTGAAAGTTAAAACCTGGGTTGAGGTAGGTAACTACATTACAAACAAATGGAAGTTAATATACCTATAAGTGGGAGACTAAAATTTCCCATACAAAAAGAGACCCGGATGTGGGCTGGCTTTGGGCACAGAGAGGAGTGAGGGGTGGTGGGATGAAATCCTGGGGTGTGGCAAGACCCTCTCCACAGGCCTTTCACATTTACTTCCCCCAAGTGTTCATCCAGCTGAAACTTGTGCTTATGGCTCACGTACTTATAAACGCCTGCTATATGACAGCTATTTTTGTGAGACCCTTAATTTTCATGGCCGCTGTAATGTTGGACCTACTATCGGTGTTTGGTGACTGTGGAAAAGAGACTTCCACAGGCTTACACAGGTAGGAAGTGGGAGAGCTCGATACTTCGGGAAGAGATGAGCCATCATCAGTGTCAATAGACCAATGGCGTGCAAGCGCAACAGGCCTGCAGAGCCCTGTGTGTCAGTTCAGGAGCCAAGTGACCATCCAATTAACCCAGCCTTGGAGAACAGTGTTTTCTTTTTTTTTTTTTCTAAACTCAATCCTCAGTATTTGGGTTGAATTGCAGCATTGGGACTTTGCAATAAATAAGTGAGTTTGGGCACTTGGCCTCTAAAAGTTTCACCATTGCTGTCTATAATATTGTATGTTTCCACTATTTATCAAATTGTTTCCACATTACATGTCAACACTCATTCCCATTCTGTCTCTGTCTCTGTTTCTTTCAAGGTCTGCCTCTGTATTTTTCTCTGCCTCTGTCTGTCTGTCTGTCTGTCTGTGCGTGCCCGCCCGACCATCCTCTCTCTCTCTCTCTCTCTCTCTCTCTCTCTCTCTCTCTCTCTCTCTC